ACAAGATTGTAAAAGGTGATTACACAACCTTGGGGCACAGCAGTGGTCGTAAGTATGAACCAGTTGTATGTCCAATCACACATGGCCAATAAAGAATTCTATTCTATTCTGTTCTGTTCTATTCTATTCTATCTGAATTTTGATCACATGATCATAGGGATGCTACAAAGGTCGTAAGCGTGCAAAATGGTAATGTCACCTTTTTCAGTGGTGTTGTAACTTTGAATGGTCACTAAATGAACTGTTGTGCATCGAGGACTACCCCTACTTCATTTATTGAAGGGATGGTTGCTATAGGAATGGGGCGCATTCATATATTGCATGCCATACAAGAGATCCACTTTTTTCCAGCTTTGAATGTTCCACTGTCCAAGCCAGTTTAATTGGTATGCCTTTTAGCAACACTTTACATTTGGCAGTTAAGATTTCCCTTAGTCTAACACCAAATGTTATGGTAGTTGGTAAGATATTTGTCCAAGGGAAATTGGACCAAACCACCAACTCAATTCTCACAGACTTTGAACAGATGTCAGGTACTCTAAACAGGGCAGAGCCCTTATTTTAAAACTCCACAGATAGAGTTACTATCTGTAAACACGGGGTATGGCTGTGTCTATTTTTCAGTGGCAGAACACAGGGAAGCTCAGAGATTATTATTTTTTTAATTTTTATTTTGGCTACCACCATGGACAAACACACATGGGTTTCAAATAACCAGCACTCCAACCCCGCTTTAACCATCTCACTGCAGATGAACTGGTCTGTGAAACAAACTGACAGGGCATACCTGAGTATGATATAACACTAACCTGTTATAAGCCACAGCGTGCAATATACTCTTGGCTTTCAAGACGTTCTGAAAATTATACTGTTGATCCAGAATTATGCTTTTGAGCGCTGCAATGAAAACTTTAACCTTTGGGAGAGACTTTTTCCCTTCCAGTGTCTGAAAACTCATCCTTCTCATTAGCTTTATTCTACCCTTGAAGAATTTGGTAGAACAGCTGTTAAAATTCTCTGCTACAGTGACATGATTTCAAACATATAAAAGAAATATAATTTTTTTACCAACAAAAATATCATACAGATGTCTCTGGTATTTATTTATTTATTTATTTATTGCTAAATCACCTCTTTTAAATTTCATATAATTTATTAATGCAATGGGAATAAAAGCATTTTAAATCAAAATGCTATACACTGCGAGTCTCTCTTGTAAGGACCAAAATAAACAGTTCAGTGGCTGTTGGATTTACTCCATCCTTAATTCTTGATTCCTATAGTTTCTACATTATATGATGTTCTGTAATTAGTACTCCTTCAAGATATAATACCTTATATTTATTATTGCTTAGATATATGCTGTGCTTGTGATACATTCTCTGTAATAACAGAAACCATTCAATATGCGAAGGTGGAAAGTTAAGATGCTACAAAGGTCTAAACAAGGTATCAATATTGCTTAAGTGTATTCAAGGTAAAGGAGAGCTTCAATAAAAAATATTTTTAGGTTTATGGAAAGTAATAAGACCCAGGAGCAGGATGAATGCTTCTTATGTTTTAGGTGAAGTTCTCATAATTGCAAAGTAGGAAAGAGATAAGAAAACTTTCTCCATTCCCACACTCCATAATTTTTCAGCCTGCTCACCTTTTTCCCAACTGAGTACCAATCAATCCTGGCCTTGCCTTTGTTGCCCCCCCCCCCAAAAAAAAATGCTTGGAAGAGTTATTGAAAACAAGGATACAAAGAAATGTTACTAGATTTCACCCCATGCCCTTTGTTTGCTAAAATCAGATCACAATTTCCTTTTCCTGTGTGACAGGGAGTATTTAAACCTGATCAGCCTGTATGCATCACAAGGCTCTTCATACAGATCAAATAACTCATCCATACTTTCTTAAGTTTTAATTGGTGACACAACATTTTAGGAAGGAGTGTGAATATTAATTATTAATTTTTATACAATGCAGCCTTCAATTAAGAGATTTGGAGAATGAGTCAGAGGTTGAGTCTTGAGTCAAAGACTAAAATTTTAAAGGGCTTTATCACTTGAGATTTGCTTAATACAAATAAGAATGGCATGGATGATACCTAAAATGTGATTTAAAGATTGACTGTGTTACCTGGAAAGCCATTTGTGTGCTTCTCAAGTGATTCAACAGTACCTAGACTGTTTTTATTTATGACAGGAAAAAACACAGAAAGCTCATTTTTGACAGTGTGTTTGCTGGTGGTTTTACCTCCTTTTACTGATGACATCCTGCACTTGCAAATGGCTGACTGCTTAGATTCAATTTCACCTATAAGAAGGTGAATCTAGTAAGCAACAAAGCACCCACTTCTAGGAAGCGATTCATGTGAAGGAATGGAGATAAACCTAATTTTCATATATGCCCTCATAAATGTGTTTATGGCAGGGGTGGGATGCAAATATTTTTACTACTGGTTCTGTGGCCATGGCTAGGTGGGCATGGCTTCTTCTATTTTTGTAGCGCCCCCCCCCCCCACTCCCAGGAAGCTTCCCTGAGGCTCAGGAGGCAAAAAATGGAGTGCATGGGGGCTGCACAGCATTCCCCGCATGTCCCTTTTGGCTCCTGGGCCGCAGGAAGCTTCCTGGGTGAAGCAGTAAGACAGCAAGGCGGATCCCAGCACAGCTGATTGTCAGAACAGCTGATTGTTAGGAAAAAAAAACAGTTCGGCTGAACTGGTAGCTGTTTTTTTACTACAGGTTCGGCCGAACAGTAGCATTTTTTACTACTGGTTCACCTGAACCAGGCCGAACTGGTAGAATACCACCACTGGTTTATGGTTACCTTTTACTTTATTTTTGGAGTAACAATTAAATAACTTCGTTGCACTGTGAACTTTTAAAGATAACAATGCAATTCACAACCGAACTGCTTAATTCTGAGCTATTTTAAATAAACCAGTTAGAATAAAGTACAATTTCAAATATACCAGCAGGAAATAGTACAAAATCTCAGTAGAAAGCCAGCGAGAAGAAATACATACAGGAACTAGAATATTCTGCCAGCTCACTGGCGAGTGATTATAACCATTGCAACACTGAATGACAAATGAATAATTTTTGGCTTAGGAGGAAATTTTATTGGTAGAATTATCCCTGAGAAGCCCTTCTTTCTAATACTTGCCAACTTTATTACTGCTGAACCTCTGAAGATACTATTAAAGTAAAGCACCACTTGAAGAATATGCATTGAAACATAAGGAAATAAATAATGCTAAAGAAAATTAGGATACTACGTTCTCAAAGAAATGTTTGAGTCATTTTAACCTTTATCTTGCTTCAAAATTCTGGAAGCTAAAGTACCTCTGCACCCTATGTTTTTAAAACTTAACTCTCCAGCTGTACTGGTTATCAAAAGAATATTTCTTAGATAAAAAGTATAAAAGAATCCTACACAGTATGTAAGAAGGAAAAAAGTGAGATGAATTGTCGGATTGCTGCTATTACAAGCAGATTATATGAATTTGTATTGCCAGATACCCTCAGGGAGAGGCAGTCCTACAGGTAACCTGGCCCCAGGCCATGAAGGGCTTAAAAGATGATTACCAGCACCTTGAATTGCACCTTGAAAACAACTGGAAGCCAATGCAGGTCATACAGCAGTGGTGTTATTTGGGTGAACCATGGGGTAGGTAGAACTGTGCATGCTGCTGAATTCTGGATCAGTTACAGCTTCCACATGGTCTTCAAAAGAACACCCAGGTAGAGCATATTTTAGTAATCCAAGTGGGAGGTGACTAAGACATGGGTGACTATGTGGAAGGCCTCTTGACCCAGGAATGGATGCAACTGGTGTAAAGCAGATTTGTGCAAAAGCCCCCTTAGCTACCAGGAAGAACCATGAGTCTAAAAAGACCCCAGTTTGCACACCCTCCCCTAGAAGGGATATAACCCTCATCCAGAGTCAGAGATGTCTACTCTCCTGACTCTCAGTGCCAAAATCCCATCATCAGTCCATCTGGCTAGGGATGAGTCATAGCTGATTTCTCCCTAGGCCTGGCCCTTATAGCCACCAGATGCTGATCTAGCTCCTGAACATCATTTGCTTTGCATGGGGTAGAGATGCATAATTGGATATCATCAGAAAACTTGAGGATCCTGAAAACCAGATGGCCTCTCCCAGTGGCTCCATATAGATGTTAAATAGGAAGGGAGAGAGCCTTGAGGCAATCCATATATAGGAACCCCTCTGGACCTCTCTTCCCTCACTAGCACTGATTGGTACCAGCCATGGAGAAAGGAGTTGAACCAGGTAGAAGGTAGAAAAACAGGAAGATCCTGGAGACCCAATTTCATGAAGAAAATCTCATATCCGGCAATGTTTGGGGGAGCATCCATAAAAGTCATTAGTGGCTCCAGAATAATAGTAATTGCACCACCCCCACCCTGGAGTTGCATTTGGTGTCACATTTGGAATCTTGGAGGACACATTTCTGAGAAGATCAGCTCACTCATTATGTCTACTTAAATTTCAGATGCGTTTCAAATGCCTGTAATCCACTTAGGGACTTGGGAATGACTTCCCTTTCTCAAATGCTATGCTCTTGTGTAGGTGCCTGGGTCTAGTACCATACTTCCTATGGCAATAGGCGAAATCATATCCCGCTCTGCCCACCTTCTTGTAACTATTTTTGAAACTAAGAAATTTAGATCTACAAAACCCTGAAGCTGGTCAAAGGGACCCGAGCTGCTAGTTTCCTACACTATTTTACCCACTGGAGAAGTTACATTATTCTTTGTATAGTGCAAAATCAATAAATTTTGATTCTATCAGTCTTGTTATTTGAGCAGACACTATTTTGTAAAAAGAGAAAGTGACAAGAAAATATAACTTGAGAGAACACGGGTGGCAGAGAAAGAAAAGGCTGCCGCTTATTGAATCTTGTGATGTGGTCACGTAAAAGTAAAACCCTTTGATATGAATTAGTAATTCATGCAGAATGTAAAGCAGAAGTATAAATGCCTACTTACTTTCTTTCTATTTCTGGTGTGGATGCTACACTGCTAAAGCCAAGGGATTCCTGGAAGAGAAGATTCATTGCTTTGAGTTGAGGCTGAACAACCAAAAGCTTTATTATCTGATGGATGCAGGAACAAAAATAAAGAATTGAATCCATTGTGCTTACTTCAATCTGGGATTGCAGCTGTAGGGATGTGGAGCTGGCATCAGATTTCTCCTGAAACAGAACAGATGTCAAGTTAGTGAAATACACAAGTGTGGCAGTGTTGACAAACAAAGTAGCAAGACAGCAAAAAGAAGAACAAAATGGGACAGGAATGAAAAGACCATCAAACTATTTCAGTTCAGATGCTTCCAGAAACTGGCTAGAACACACTGATGGGATATAAAAGTAAATTCACAATTTCATTTTATTTGAGTTTCCTCTAGGAGCTCAGTGGCATGCATAGCAATATCTTCTCCAACATCTGTTCAAAAACAACCCCGTGATGTTGGCTGTGAAGAGAGGAGGATTGGCTCAAAATTGTCCCTGAACCTTAATGGCTGATAGCGAACCTGAATCTTTTTGGTTTGATACATCTCACAAGAACATCTCCATCTATCCTGGATTACAAAAAACAGTCATTCAATTGGATGAGAAAGCACTAGCAGTAATATGTTACTTTAGAACAGTGTTTCTCAATCTTGGCAACTTTTAAGATGCGTGACTTCAACTCCCAGAATTCCCCAGACAGCTTATCTGACTGGGGAATTCTGGGAGTTGAAGTCCACGCAACGTAAAACCGCCATGGTTGAGAAACCCTGCTTTAGAAGCACTGTCAATCTCTTGTCATAACATTTCTCTTACTTTTTGTTTTTTTATGCAATCTACAGTGGGAACACTAGATGGCTCAGCATACTGCACAGTTTTGTAAACCGGAAACAAAAGTAAGGAGCAGAAGTGAAGAAATAAACAATCCTGTTAACATCTGCATTGCCTTGGAGTAGTAATCTAAGTCTACTTCTCCAGATGTGGAAAACTGTGTGTAGTTCTGCTGCCACATCTCAAGAAGGATATAACAGAAATGGAAAAAACATTAAAGACTATAATTAAAATGACTCGGGGGCTTGAACACATGTTCTTTGAGACACAACACTGAAGATTTACCTCAGAAAACAAATGTGACTGGATGAAGACATGATCAAGATATGCAAAATTATAGAAAGCAGACAGGAAACATAACTTAAAGGATAGCAATAACAAAGGGTTGAAAGCCCCAATTAATTGATAATGAAGAACTAGTTACAAACAATGGAAGAGGGATTGATCTGAATGCATATACAAAGACTCTGACTTATAACCTGGCACTTAACAGCTGTTCAAAATAATGAAGGACAATACAAGAAAGCTACTTATGATCCATCCTCAAAGTTATGACTGCCACACACAAAGAGGCCTGAAGACACATGATTGCATTTTGGGCTTTGGCAACCAGCCAGCATTGAGGACTGGTTGCTGTGTCCCATGGTCATGTGACCACAATTAGCAGAAAATTCCCAAAAAGTAAATTGGATATGCTGGATTTGCTTAACAGCCACATGATTCACTTAACAACCATGGTAATTGCTTATGACCATTGTTAAAATGGTTATAAAATCAAGTCTGGTTGTGTGTGCCTTGACTTATAACCACAATGACATGACCAAAATTCTGGCCTCCATTGTGGTTGAAAATTATCTGTAAATAGTAGTAGTAGTAGTAGTAGTAGTAGTAGTAGTAGTAGTAGTAGTAGTATTTTATTGTGGTCACTGACCATCTCAAACATGTAAGTACTTTTCAACCAAATAAACCAAGATTTGTGAATGGGCTGATAAACCATGATAAGCATACAGCTATATAAGACCTATACCATCAGAACATTTTCAACCTACATACAATCCAAAACCTAATTCAGTCCAAGACATTTATAAGTTCCCTGCTGGCTTGTGCAATGCCTTTTCCTTACATCAAGGAAACAAATGCACATTCCTCTGAAATTTGCAATTAGCTTTAATGTCATTGATTTGGAGAGATGGAAACAAAAACAACTTATGAATATGAAGTTTGGTGATGTTTTTCTTCTGAGTTGAAAAAGTTGGTATGAAGTAGTCAAAGTAATGAAAACATTAGCAAAAATTAAGTTAGAGAGTCTTCATTCTCTCACCAAAGCAAAGTTCCATAGAAAGCAGATGTATGCAACTTCCTCTTTCATTAAGCCGAGCCAACTATCCAGCTGGAAAAGCAATGGGAACATTACTAAGGTTCTTCTTTTGTCTCCTGTCATCCCACCTCCAATGACATAAAACAGTGAGAAAAGGAAGGGGACAGCTCTGCAGTTGTGCAGAATCCAGTTAATTTAGGTTTCTACCGAGTATCCAGGAAATAAAAGAGAGGGGACATTTTACAGATATTGCAGCTCAATCCATGCACCATGAGAAAGCAGATCCTGTTGGGCACCAAGAATATTTTTTCTTGTTGGCTTCTGGGTAGTAAATGTTTGGCTTTGTGGAATTTAGTTAGAACTTAAAAGATAGGGATTGTGCTAGAGGTGCTTTTTAGCTTAAGTAAGATCTATATTAATTCACATTATCTTTTATCTTTTTAAAGGAGATACTTTGATTACCTAAGCTGACATAAACAAGATTTACTATGCACAGCAGATATCATTGGGAAGGGAAGGTAGAGCAGATTCTTCCCTCCTCCTCAAACCCTCTCAGGGAAAGACCAGCTGCATCCTGTGCTAACAAAATCCAGATCCTGCTCTGTCTCTCTTTCTCTTATTACAACGTGAGTAACTTCTTTTGTTCTCACAACTAAAAAGCCAGTGTTCTTTACAAAAACTAAGCATTGGGATTTCATTAAAAAAAGAGCACTGGTTGGTAAATAATAAAAATACCCTAGAACAGGGGTCTTCAAACTTGACAGCTTTAAGACTTGTGGATTTCAACTCCCAGAATTTCTCCTCTAGTCATGTTTGCTCAGGAATTCTGGGAGTTGAAGTCCACAAGTCTTAAACTTGCCAAGTTTGAAGACCCTTGCCCTAAAGGGATACTATTTTGCTTAATAAAGGTTTGCTTTGTCCTTGTTTGCAAGTGATGGCTCTACATGTAGCACATGAATTGTAATTTCTGAATGGTAATCAAAAGCTCCATAGGTAGTCTCTTAGACAATGTGTAAACTTCATAAAAATAGCATGGAATGCTCTCTTCTCACGGAGCTTTGAACTTGCTTCAGTAAATATGGCAGACATCATGCTGAAATTTAAGCTATTGTCAAAAGTGCTTCAAAAATTGTTTTTTGAATAGTAATTTTATTAAGATGTATCATTATAACAACAATAAAAGCTAATACCAAAATCCTGAAAGAATAAAAAGTAGAAGATGCAAGAAAGGGGAAAATAGAAAGAGAAATAGAAAAGAAATAAAAATAAGAATATATAAAAGAAAAAAAGTAATATATAAATAAGTAATTTCCCCCCTTCATCACAGTATGACAATTTTAGTAACTTATTACCTTTTCTTAAAATATGATCATTTTTCCTATATCCCATCTTTTAATCTATAAACAAAACCTCATGAAACCTTATCATTTCATGTTTGATATCAATAAAAGTCTATTAAGGATTACCAGAAATAGCAACTTTTCTATTTTAATCTTGATCAAATAAATCAACTTTATATTTCTTCATTTTACTTTTAACAATTTTGATCTTTAATCTTTTAATAATGCCCCAGAATTTTATTTTATTTTTTCTTTGTCCCTTCTCAAAAAAATCTTCTAAACTTTAAGATGCCTGCTTTGTAAATCCAATATAGAAAAATTATCCTGGTCATTCTCTTGGTTTGTTATTTAAATACCCTTTTTTAATTATTAAGACGTCAGCCAGCTTCTTTGGGGTATGCCCAGTATAATATCTTTTCCCATATCATTTTTGTAGCCCCTCATTTTTAAATCCATTTTCAACTCAGTCTCAGTTTTGTCAAGCAGAACTTGTTCCTCTTCCATAACATCTTTTAGAGATTATATATTTATAGAGGCAGAGGCTATTAAAATTAGCTTCTGAGTCCATTGTTCAAAAATATCCTTCAATATATCCAATCCTAGCATATTTTTAATCCATTCTTTTTTCTTCTTTAATTGTAGTCTTTAGTTATTTTCTTTAGTTATTGTCAAATTTTTAAAATCTTGGTAGAGCACAGGTATAAGGTCCTGGTAGAGCTTAGGTGTTCATGGCCTCCCAGATGACCATTGCCTTGGCATCTCACTTCATTTTCATCTCTGAGGGAAGTATGGGGAGCGGAGATTTCCCTCAACCCTTTGTCATTATGCAACTTCCCTTTCCAGATAAAATAGACTGGGGTGAGAAGGTCTATTCGGTGGGCTATCCCATGAAATTCAGGAACCTCAACAGATTCCAGAGGGTATTTAAGAAGTTTTCAGTGAGCTGCTAGGCAGTTCTGTTGCATGCCTCGTTAGTCATTGTCAATAGGAGGTAAGGTAGGCTCACGAAGCAACCACTCCCTGTGTGCTCATTTCAGGTGGCTCCTTGGTTTAGCTCTAGAAGACAAATTAGAAGTACCTTTTAAAATTCTTTTTTTTTTCATTAAATTCAAATAACTAATAAATAAAATATAAGAAACATTTGGAAAGACAGTGGAGGAAAACCAAAACTACTATTTACCAAGACAAGTATCACCTCAAGATTTGGGCCTACAACATCACAATAATAGAGGTGAAGTACTCTAACCTCTCCTGCTATATTGTATCAATGGCCTTCTTTAGTGACTCTCTTTTCCAGATTTAACATCAGGTAGATCTCCCATCTGGCCACTATATTTTGTACAGCGGTTTGCTAGTAAGTCATTGTTAGTGCCTCGGTTTCAAAGGACACAGTGCCACCAATCCTGAAAGTAGTTATGTTTCATGTTGTTCTCAAGAGGCCCTCCTTGCACTGGCTATTTTTCTTTGACAACTACTGCCCGGTCTATCCTTTAGAAAATTTTATTGAGATAGTGGTCAGGATGTAGCTATGGTATACTTTGCAAGAGGGAATTTATTTGAATCCTTGTTAGTTATGGTTCAGTTTATGACATGTGACAGAAACAACACTGATTGTTCTAGTGCAGGGGTGTCAAACTCAAAGCCCGTGGGGTGCTTAAATCTGCCCCACAGGGCCGGCCTGGAAATATCAAAGCAGC